TTTTTGTGTGTGTAACTGCTGGTCTCTCCTCTTTCCTTTTCTGCTACTTAGTGAATAAAAATATTTGGCAAACACAAATCTAAGAATACCTTTCCCAACATACAACTGTGAGAATGATTCTTTTGTCTTGTGTGGGAAATTTTAGCAAGTTGCTTTTTCATATCTAGTAGTATTCAGTTCTGAATACTCCTTGTTCTTGTAGTAACAGGCTCTCTGAAATCCCCAAGTCCAGGAACAAACTTGCTGACATAGTTGAAATCCCATTATCCCTTATTTTGTCAGTTTTGAGCAAATGATCCCACACATATAGAAACTAAATCATTACATTCTAGGAGGTTTATTGAACAAACAAACTCCTCTTCAACAAATGCCACACAGTCTATACTTAAGGAAAATTATTCACCCAGTAATCAGCTATAAATGCTGACAAACTGGTTCTCTGCTGGTTTTCCTATTTGTCTATCAAACCTCCCTCTAGCTCATTGCACTGACCTCTATGAAAAAGCAATATAGCAGCATTGATGTATTCCCAGACAGCCTCATCATCTGTTCTATATGTTTCTAGTCTACAAGCAACTGCTTGTTTCAGTCTAATGAATTTAAAAGTATTTTAAGTCAGCAATTTAATGTTATCTGTTATACAGATGTGAAAAAATCCAAGGCCACACCACATCACTGAACAAGTAAACTCAGGCTATGGCTACATTGCCAGTTTTTTGTGGAAGAAGATATGCAAATTGCACTCGCATTTGCATATCTTCTTCTGATTCTTTTTGCAGAAGAGATTTTGCCGCTATTTGACCCCATGTAGTTGGGACAAATGTCGGAAACCCCCCTCTTTCGCAAGACCCCTTATGCCTCATAAATTGAGGTTTACAAGGTCTTGAGAAAGAGGGGTTTTTTTCTGACATTTGGCCTCATCTACACAAGGCCAAATAGTGGCAAAACCTCTTTCTCAAAAAGAATCAGAAGAAGATATGCAAATAGAAGTGCAATTTGCATATCTTCTTCCGCAAAAAAATGGCAGTGTAGCTGTAGCCTCACTGTACATATTATGGAGTAGTAGCAAACAGTCCATTGCTAATGTTCCAGATGAGTTTCCATAATAAATCCAATTGTGACACACTTGTAAAATCTATAAGCACATCAGCTCAAAATTAGTAGGTAAGATCTGGGGCTGAGTTAGAATTTCTGTCAGATTTGATGTTTTTGAGGATTTTTCTACACTGGCAATTGAGGGACAAAGATTTTGTTGTATGAGGGTGCTTAACTCCTTTCCCCCCAAAGACAAAAGCTTTGCCCCAGCATATACCAGTGTAAGCAATGCTTTGTCAAATGCCACCCATGGGGTGGAAGCTTTTTGTCAGCAGAAGTGCCAACAGCATTTACATTGCCCAGTTTTAGCAACACGACCGTGTTTACACGACCGTGTAGCTAAAAGCTGTATACTTTTATCCACAGTATTCTTTTAACTGTATACTTTTATCCACAGTATAGACAAAGGGACAGGGATTTTATGAATTCTGATGCCCTAAAAACAGGGACTTTCACCACAGCTCAAAACTCTTGTAGCATTTAATAGTGATGTTAAATCCCATTTAAGTGGTTAACCAGTTAAACATTATACAGTAAAACTCCAATAGTCCGGCATCCAATTGTCCAGCTTCCCGATAGTCTGGCATCAAAATGGCAAGCGCCTAGTGAAGGGGTGGCCAACCCGAGGCTCCTGATGGAAAAAAATTGTGGCTCCTGACAGAACACGGAACCGCTCAGGTCAGCCGCTCTCACAGCCGGGATGCTGTGAGCCGCATGTGTGCTCACAGCCCACGCCGTTCCGCTCACGGCCCCCAGTGCACTGTGTCGTACCCTGCATGTGCACATCGGGTCGCACACAGTGTCCCAGCCTGTACGTGCTAGTAGCCGGCCTCTGAGTGCATGCAGCTACTTTGGGACCCAGACTTAAGGTTGGGGGGGAGAGATGCCTGGCTCTGGAAAGGGGAGTGGGATTGGGGGGGATGCAAGGGGGGGCGATGGGCATGGTGTACCAGATGCGGCGCAGCGGCTCTAGCTCCAAGACCCGAGCATAAGGTTGGGGGAGGGGAGCGATTGGGTTACTGCAGGGAGGGGAGGTGTTTGGCTCTGGGGAAGGGAAGGGGAGGGGAGGGAGATTGGGTTATTCACGGCATCCTGGCCAGCTCATGCTCAAAGCCGGCCGCTCAGCGCACGTGCCCCAGCACTTGGATGGAGATGTGCAGCTGTAGCGGCGGCTCCGGGACCTGAGAATTAGGTTAGAGCGGGGGGAGGAGGATCGGGTTGGGAGAATGCCCCCTCATAGTACCTCCTGATAGTCCGGCATATCCGATAATCTGGCACCACCTAGGTCCCAAAGATGCTGGATTATTGGAAGTCTACTGTATCATGTTTAATTGGTTAACCGATTAAAAGGAAGGTTGGAGGAGGGGGTGCTTCAGTCTCATTGGGCTGGAGCGGCCTCCCGCTCACCACAGCTGGGCTAGACTGGCCCACCTGCCATGGACAAGGGCAGTTCCTGCTAGCCGGTCGGAGCAGCCCTTTCCCTGCAATGAGCCCTGCTGGGCTGGAACAGCTCCCTGCCATGGTGGGTGGAGAGCTGCTCCAACCCAAACTGGTTAACTGGAACCAGTAAGCCTCACTCACTGAGAGTGAGGCTTAACAGTTAACCATTCACACCCCCAGCATTCATTAGCCAATTTTTGGGAGAGGGATGAAGACAGAGAGAAGCTAGTTGACTAGTCTGTCTGACTCAAAGCACCAATAATTACTTAATTACAAGCAGTCTTGAGAAGTTAACATTTGAATAGGAAAATTACTGTGGATGTTCACCTACAGAAAGCATATTTAGAGCTTCTTGGGATGAGCCCTGGCTCTTCTATGTACGTGTTTGTGATCTTTAGACACTATTGTAATACAAATAATACATAAGAGGACAAAATAGTTTCTAGGGAATCAAAAAGCCCCTTCTTCACCCCTCCTTCATGTTGTTTTAAATTAATTTGCAAGCATGTGAAGTAGCCCCCTGCACACCACATCTGTTTATGTGTCATCTCATAAAAATTGTTTGTAATAGGAATGACTACTTAATTAGTGTAGTGATAAGGTACCCATGAAAATACCAGTTAAAATAATTTGGCTCTTTGTGTCAACATTCTTCTAGAGATATACATTAAGATCTTTAAAAAAACCTGTATAATCTTTAAGAATCTACTCACTTTTGGAATCTCAACAAAGTTCTTCAGAAAATACCAATGTCTCAGATTCACTGAGACTTTGGGATTTAACAATAGGACTGATTGTTGATCTTCTTGCCTCCATCCCACTCATCACTAGTACTTACAAATCAGCATAACATTTTGCAAGTGATTTTTTTATATATAACTTTCATCTCCCTTTTTAAGGTAGATAATAATGTGTTTACTTTTTTCTTTTATCCACAGATGACAAGCTACCATACTGGTTAAACATTCTCTTTTTTCTACAAAAAACAAAAACAGAGAAAAATATATTTTTCCAGGCAAATTGTCTCTCCTAAAAATGGATGGGAACATTTTATCCCAATCTCTTGGAAAATAAAGCATAGAAGCTAATGCAAATCTGGACATAGGTAGACAATTATTAAAAACTCTTACACAAATATTTGAGCTGATGCCTCTGTTATTTTATCAACAGTTCAGGAAAATGTATGCCTTTTTAAAAAATAAACATTAAAAAGGGTTGTAGTGACTGAAACGAATCATAGAACTGAAAGGAACCTTGAGAGGTCCTCAAGTCCAGTCCCTGCACTCATGGCAGGACCAAGCACCATCTAGAGCAGCGGTTCCCAATCTTTTTTATATCACGGACCGGCAAACACATTCACTAACTTTTGGTGGACCAGATATGCAAATAATGAATATGTAAATATGCAAATAAAACATTACCTGTCCACCAAATTTACCCACACCCCCGCTGACCCCGTCAGTGAACAATGAACATCCCTTTACCTACAACCCCAGAACCCTCTGACCCCGTCCAGCCAACCCTGGTACTTTGTGTCTCTGTTTTATTAAATCTGCCAAACTCATCATCTGATATCCTCTATATATCCCACTAGCTCCATTACGTCACAATTCTGTCTTGTCAAACCTGTCACCCCAGTGCCCACCATCTCCTGCTTCCCAACACCCCCCGTTGCCAACTTCCTTCCGTCAACCACCTTTGTCTTGCCTGGAGCCTGTCTTGCATCTGCAGTTACTACCAGTCTCGGCACTCTGAGAACCAGTGACCCCCTGATTTAAATTAACAACCTCCCATTTCCCCGGATCATGCCCCACCATTCCTAGTGCTCCCTGATCCCATCCCACTGCCACTGGTACTCCTTGCTCCACAAACTCCATAACTGCCAGTTGTGCCAAACCCTGATCCTGCCTCACTGACCCTGAAACTGCCTGCTCCACAAGCTCTACAGCCCCCCGACTCTGCTCAGACACCCTCAGATCTGCTGCCTCCTGAGACAAAAACATGACCTGGCTCCATAACCACTGACCCACTGCAACCTACCCCTCTTGCCCTTTGACCTCTAATCCCTGTCCTCCCTCAGCCCTCCCCACTTAACCCCTAGCCCCAACCCAGCCCCTTGCTCCCCAGTGCCTAACACCCTTTGACCCTCACCCCTACGCCCTGTGCCCTCTGACCCTTTAACCTCTGACCCCTAAAGCCCATGCCAGCACCCTCTTGCCCCAAGAGCCTACCACACCCTCACTCAACACCCTTTTGCCCTTAGACGCCACTCAACCGCCACACTACCTAGAGTGAGGCTGCCTCCTCTAGGGATCATGGACATTATTGCCCCACCGACAGGGGCTGTTGGCAATTCGCGCACTCCTTCCTCCTTTGCACCCTCTCCTTTCCCAAGCATGTCTTGCGCACAAATGGGTAGAGGCGGGATGGGAGAGCAAGAAGCCCCAGCCCGGTCACCATCTTACCTTGGTGGGAGGGGTGAGGCCACTTCTGGACAAAATCAGCCGCCACAGCTGCCGGAGCTGAAGCTGGCTGCTGAGCCCAGCCCCCAGAGCTGCTGCGAACAGCTGGCTTCAGTTCGGTAGCCACCAGTTTGCAACCTGGTGGTTGAGAACTGCTGATCTTGAGCATCTAGAACATCTTTGGTGTTTGTCTATCTTGCTCTTAAAAATCTCCAATGATGAAGATTCCACTACCTCCCCAGAGGTTAAAGAGAATATTTTTTTTCTCCCTGCTTCTTGTAATATCCTTTTATGTTCTTGTAATCTGCTATCATGTCCCCTCTCAGTCTTCTCTTTTCCAAATTAAACAAATCCAGTTTTTAAATTTTCCTGAAAATAGGTCATGTTTTCTAGACCTTTAATCATTTTTGTTCTTCTCTGGACCTTCTTCAATTTTATGCACACCTTTGTTGAAATATGTTGCTCAAAACTGGACACAATATTCCAGCTGAGGCCTAATCAGAGCAGAGTGAAACAGAATTACTTCTCTGTCTTGCTTACAACACTCCTGTTAATGCAGCCAAGAATCATGTTTGCTTTTTTTGCAACAGTGTCACACTATTGACTCATAGTTAGCTTGTGGTCCACTATAACCCCTAGATCCTTTTCTGCAGTACTCCTTCCTACAGAGTCATTTCCCATTTTGTATATATGAAACTGATTCTTCCTTTCTAAAGGGCATACTTTGCATTAGTCCTTTTTGAATTTCATACTATTTATCTCAGACTCTTTCTTGAGCAGAAGGAAAGTCTATTTCATTTCTGTATTACATGTCATTCTTTTTCACAGATGTGTGTGTGTATATAAATTAAAATAAATACATACAATAAAGTATATAGATATTGTTTCCTGGTTTAAAATCAGAAGGAATGAACCAACTAAACAAAATAAACTTAGAATTCAAACAATATCCCATCTGTCTAGAACAGTGTTTCTTAAACTTTTTAAAACCGAGGAACATCAAACAATAATTTGTTTTTATGAGAAACACCAAGGATATTTTGTTGAGAAAAAAAAAAAAGGTCGGGGGGGGGGGAATTATTGAGCAAAAATAAATGTCGCCTGCCCTTTAAGGGCAGCCATTTTGAACTCTGTTGTTCTCCGTGGCATACTGGTGTATACACAGTTTGGCTACGTCTACACTGGCCCCTTTTCCGGAAGGGGCATGTAAATTTCATGAGTCGTCGTAGGGAAATCCGCGGGGGATTTAAATATCCCCCGCGGCATTTAAATAAAAATGTCCGCCGCTTTTTTCCGGCTTTTAAAAAAGCCGGAAAAGAACGTCTAGACTGGCCCCGATCCTCCGGAAAAAGTGCCCTTTTCCGGAGGCTCTTAAGCAGAGAAAGGGACTAGCAATAAGGCCCTTGCCAAGGAGCTAACTTCTTCAAAGAATTGGAGATCTGGCGGTGGGACAGGAGTGCAGTAGGGGGCAGGGGACAGCAACTCAGCCAGGAGCCCTATGGGCAGGGGGCACTAGCAGGTGTCTTATTCCTATTCAAAGTAGGAATAAGAGCCTCCGGAAAAGGGCACTTTTTCCAGAGGATCGGGGCCAGTGTAGACGCTCTTTTCCGGCTTTTTTAAAAGCCGGAAAAAAGCGGCGGACATTTTTATTTAAATGCCGCGGGGGATATTTAAATCCCCCGCGGATTTCCCTATGACGACTCATGAAATTTACATGCCCCTTCCGGAAAAGGGGCCAGTGTAGACGTAGCCTTTAAGAAACACTGATCTAGAAAATCCTATCTATGGTGGTGAGCTCATGTTGGTGTGACAGTGAAATTAAAATCCTCTCCTCCACTTTGTAGAATGCCAGTTGAACTGCTTTGCAAAGATTATTGCAGCCCAATGGCCAGGACACTTTTGCAGTTTCTATGTGGGAAGGGTACAGGAGCAGAGAGTGGAGGTTCCCTGTAACACCACATATTCTGGCCCATCCTCTCTTTGTCACTGAACAAGGGAATCATGAAGATCAAGACTCCATGTCACTCATGGACTGCACATGGACTCTCCTTAGCTATGAAGAAGTGGGCAGGTTTTCCTCTTTAGTAATTCAGTGATGAA